ATATATATATATATATATATATATATATATATATATATATATGTATATGTCCTTTTGATCTTTATTTACTCATAAGTTTTGCTAACTCGATTAGCTAAATATGTGTCCAGAACCAGGGGATTTGGTTAAAAAAATAGTGAAATAATAAACGACCAATTAGACAACTTAAAATATATTTAAACCGATGGCTTCACAATATATTTATGAATGACACTTTAAGTTGAAAAGTATTAATCAGCATAGTGTTGCATATTTTTGGATAAAATGTAACTCATATAGTGAAAATATTTATTTCTAAAGTATTGGAAATGTAAACTATTTCGAATTGCGGATATGAAGACCAAGAAGACTTCGATGCATAGAAGTGATCTGACCTCGCTTTCGCAACTTGGTCGGGCAGTCGGTGAGACCTTGTTGAAAACACCTTGACTAAGGTTCTCTTTTATAGTAGTTATGGTTATTCCCAGTGTTCGAGTGTGGACTTGGCACATTCCCAAACGTTTCGCCGGCATCGTCAGTGAGTCTGGCCATTCTCAACACCAAGTTGCATCTCGTCAAAGAGACAAGAACAGTCAATCCATTGACCAACCTTCTGCCGAAATGGTTGTGCAATCACTGCTCTTTCTGTCCTGGCCCATCCATCTACTCCTTACCCTCTGGTCACATTCCCACCCTATCACAAATTCTCACTTGTTTGTATTCCTTTCCACAAAAGATGTGCTCTTTTTGACGAGTTTAGTGTGGCGTCGTCACACTTGCTCTTTAATCTATCGCCTACCTTTCAATTTGCTGATCCGGATCTTCTTTATAGGCCCGTAGGTTCGTTTATTATCTCTCTGACTGACCGATTTCACTCGTTTCCAATTGCACTATACTTTCTACTCAACGCGCCAGGCTCCCAAAGTTGTAGTGGTTTCTTCGAGCAGAATTCGCTTGATTTTCAAAATTTCTTATTCGCTTCTTCTTTGAGATCTCTTTTCTTCTGATTCACAATAGATCCATGATCCAGGCATATCATTTTTGCTTTTTTGCCGTATCATTGCTTGCTCCGAGTTTACTCAAGCAATAGGCGAAGTTATCGCTAAATCTACCAATCTCATATTCACAACATTTTTTCCCCACGAATGTCAATGGCCTCTCTAATCTTCCGTTTCTTTATGGTTTCATCGCAGGATACCTTTCTTTCAGTTACGTTCCAATTAATCTCGTGTCCAGTCCGTGCGATGTGTTCCGCTAATTCTGATCTTTCTGTATCCATTTTCCTGCATAGCCTTTGATATTCCTTGATTTGTATGCTGATTTTTCTCTCTGCTTCGCCAGAATATTTCTGTTTGCAGACGCCACATGCAATGCAGTAAACTCCCATTTGTCCACGCTTTCATGTAGCATGGGTAGAATTGTGAAGAGAGTTATTATTTCCTTCGAGATCACCTGAATTCTCCATTTTAGTAGCATTGGCCGCAGTTTCTGAGTTAGTTCGCATGAAGGTAAACATCCACTTTTGAGAGTCTTCTCTATCCTTAACTTTCTTTCATAATCCTCATCCTGTCATCGAATTTTCACTGTCAGTATGTTTCCATGTATTACTTCTCTTTGGTATCAGTTGCCAAGGCGTATCCGAGTCAATTGGTCTAATTCTAAATCCCAGGTATCCACATCCATCAATCGTAGGCTTCTGATGATTATGCTCCTTAGTATTCCGATCTTGAGTCTTTATTTGTGATGAGACTACAAATTGAGTATTATTCCAGCATATTACTTCTCTCTTAACAGTAACATAAAATATAACTGCTCCACTTGCTCTACTTCTGTTGTGAACTTGATTCTTTATTAATCTGGTTTGTGTACTTTAGGAAATCCTCTCATTTTTCTCTTACATGGCATCAAGGGGCGAAA